GTTTTTTCTCATACACGATTGTTGACTATTATTCGTATTCGGTCTCAAAATATAGAAGTAGAGAATGACATTGAATTATTTCCATAAAATATAAATATCGTCTGTAGAAATATATTAACTTAGTGATTCGGAAGCTTAATAAATATCTAGAATGTTACTTTGTTGTAAAGATCAATTGTTTTTTCGCATACATTCAATTTAGCTGATCTATTTCTATAATTTATAGTATCCTCTATGAAACATTTGAGTGTGGTAATTGAAAAATGAGATATCATTGTAAAGCATCTCATCAAACAATTTCTCTCTCAATCCGAATCCGAGATTAGAGCACTATCATTGACTTTTCTACGTTATAAAATAAATTATAATTCATCATATCTTTAATATGTCTAAATTGATCAATACATCACGAATAAATGATCATTCTTTTCCTTTACTTCTTATTACTGATGAATACCCATTGATTGATTGAAATGAACCATGCATTGACGACATATCGGTACGTATATTGCAGTTTTTTTAACTTTTTCTCCATCATACAATGCCTAGTTCAACACTATTCCGATCCAATTTCATGCAAGATATTCTTCTTCTCTTACAGGGAACACTCTCGTAAAGAATTAGAAATTTAAATATGTCTGAGAAGGTTATTTATACACATACATACGTATGTGTATTACCCTATCAGTTGACTTTGTCCATTACGTTTTTATTATTTAAAGAGTTATTCACTGTACGCGCGCAGGTTACTGTAAACTAGAGTTAATTAAAAAACAAGTGAACGAACCCTTCTTTTATTCATTAATCACTTATTCATTATAATTTCTTTTTTACATTTTCAATGCTCTCTTTGAGTTTCGATATGATGATGAGTTGGAGACAATGCACGTTGGAATATGTTCAAAGTTCGTGCCAAATCTGCAACTGTTTTCGAGTACTTTCTCATGTTGCTATACACCAAACCGATGTTGTATGACTGCGCAAAATCAGGATAATTTGAAAGAAAATTTTTTTCATCGATCTCAAAGCATTTTTCGTAAAATGAAAGTGCTTTTTCGTACTCTCCCATGTTGTTATACACCCTACCGATATTTTTGTATGAATTAGCCAATGAAGGATGATTTGGAGCAAGAATTTTCTCACAGATTTCAAGTGCTTTTTCGTAAAATGGAAGTGCTTTTGAGTACTCTCCTTTGTTGTAGTAAACACTACCAATGTTGTTGTATGAATTAGCCAAGTCAAGATGATTTGAAGGAAGACTTTTTTGATCAATTTCAAGTGCGTTTTCGTAAAATGAAAGTGCTTTTGAGTACTCTCCCATCTTGTCATACACCAAACCGATATTGTTGTATGAACCAGCCAAATGAGGATGATTTGAAGGGAGAGTTTTTTGTTGAATTTCAAGTGCTTTTTCGTGAGATGAAAGTGCTTTTTCGTACTCTCCCATGTTACCATACACCATACCGATGTTGTTGTATGAAGTAGCCAATGAAGGATGATTTAAAGGAAGACTTTTTTGATATATTTCAAGTGTTTTTTCATGAAATGAAACTGCTTCCGAGTATTTTTCCATGTGGTTATATACATTACCGATGTTGTTATATAAAGTAGCCAAAGAAGGGTGATTTGAAGGAAGACTTTTTCTTCGAATTTCAAGTGCTTTTTCGTGAGATAAAAGTGCTTTTTCGTACTCTCCCATGTAGTTATACACCGTACCGATGTTGTTGTATGAAGTAGCCAAATCAGGATGATTTGAAGGAAGACTTTTTTCACAGATTTCAAGTGCTTTTTCGCGTGATGAAAGTGCTTTCGAGTAGTCTCTCATGTTACAATACACACCACCGATATTGTTATATGAAATGGCCAAATGAGGATAATTTGAGGGAAGAGTTTTTTGTCGAATTTCAAGTGCTTTTTCGTAGTACGAAAGTGCTTTCGCGTACTCTCCCATCGTGTCATACACTAAACCGATGTTGTTGTACGAAGTAGCCAAATCAGGATGATTTAAAGGAAGACTTTTTTCACAGATTTCAAGTGCTGTTTCGTGACATGAAAGTGCTTTCGGGAACTCTCCCATGTCGTTATATAGTAAACCGATGTTGCTGTATGAAGTAGCCAAATGAGGATGATTTGAAGGAAGACTTTTTTGTTGAATTTCAAGTGTTTTTTCATAAAATGAAAGTGCTTTCGAATACTCTCCCATTTTGTCATACACTAAACCAATGTTGCTGTATGAAGTGGCCAAATCAAGATGATTTGAAGGAAGACTTTTTTGATCAATTTCAAGTGCGTTTTCGTAAAATGAAAGTGCTTTTTCGTACTCTCCCATGTTACCATACACCATACCGATGTTGTTGTATGAAGTAGCCAATGAAGGATGATTTAAAGGAAGACTTTTTTGATATATTTCAAGCCCTTGTTCGTAATACCGAATAGCCCTTTCATAATCACCGTGATTCGAATACACTAATCCCAGCCGATTATAATAAAGCGCTTTTTCACTCTCATCAGATGTCTGTTCGAGTAATACGTTATAAAGTTCTTCAGCTTTATTAAACTGGCCAATTGTAAGCAATAAATTACCTAATCTGTTCCATCCGGTACTACCATCAGCTTCTTCTCGTATCCGATCAGTAAGTAATCGTAGTTGTTGGTCATCATCCGACGTTAATTGTAATTCAACTTGATAAATTTGAGTCGTATTATCCATTTGTTTAATTGCACCCACTCGAAAAACGGTGTGCATTGAGAAGAGAGTTTCATCTTCTTCCTTAAAATAACTGACGCCCTTGATGGAGGCAAATGGCACTGATTTAACACGAGGATCAATGGAAATTATAAAAAGAATGCCCACCATATCCAGATTTGTTGAAGCACATCGAGCAAAATCGAGTGGTACTTCTTTATCTGTACTGGTAGACAAGAAATTGTTAAATGACATTAGTCCACCTTGTGTTTTTTGAAGTTTTTCAAAGTCTGATTTCATAAGACCTTGTCCTCGATAAACTAAAAAAGGTTTTCCACCATAAGTGCTGACCTGTTGTTCATGCAGCTGTTGAATTTGTCGATGCAAATCACATAGAAAAAATCCCATAATTATAATTGTGTCGGCGTTCAATGTTCGAAGACCATAGTTGAGCATAGAATATATACTGGATGGAAAAGTATACCACCAGACAGCTAATTCAGCATTGTATTCTTTTTTAAAACGGTCAATATTAGTTGGTGACATGGTGTCGTTATTTCGACAATAATCAGTAAACTGTTTGATGGCTTGTTCATCATGTTCCATATCAAGAAGAATATCCTTGAATATTTGGGTATACATAAATGTTGGCTCCAACTGATTTAAATTCTCAGTTGAAGCCATTTCACCTACCGTGAGAAAACTCATGGCAATCGAATCTTGACTGAACTGCTTGATATCAATTTTTAATTCTCGGCATAAGGTATCAATGCTTGTTTGAACGCTCTTGATTTTTTGCCAATTGTTTGTTCGTTCTTCATGTAGGATTTCAACATCATTGAAGACATAAATACCATGCAACTGTGAAATATCATTAATGAGGGGCATTATTTGTTGATACATAGTATCTTTGACAACGAGGAAGGACTTGATGTCTTGATCATCTGTAAGAAAGTCGATGCATTCGTCGCGTTGCTTAAAGACATTGATACTGTCAGTATTGGTTTTTAATTGTGTCATAAGATTTTGATAATCTTGGTTCGTTTCGTCCATACATTCATCTAACAAGAGGAGTGAATAATTTTGAATCATCCGTCGCCTTGGTTTAATAACACTAGACGATATTATTGTCATATTATTGTTATTCATGAACGTGTTTGGTGATAACGAAACCTTTTGATTTGATGTTGAATATAAGGTTGTCAATAATTGCTGCTGTTTAAATGGTAAGAAAACTCGCCACTCTTATTTATAATGACAATGTATTTTCTGTCGAGGCTCAAAGAGAAATTTCAACTATTTACTTTTTAAAATACTGTTGTGGAGAGCAAGAGAAAGATCAGTACAAATAAATTTGTTAACAACGTTTGCGACAGAGCGAAATTATTTCGTTTTATAGTTATTCTTTCCAACTTTTTTGGCCTTATCTATGCAAATATTTGCGCAATTCAATATGCCACCAATAGTTTATCATTGAAATGGAATAGAAATAGAAGTTTTATCGTTCCGTTTTGTTTTTTATTCCTCTTTTTTCATAAAACAAGAATCATTTTTCTCTTCACAATATTCATTCCTTAAATATGCAACGATATTGGTAGTACGTGAAGAAATGAAAGAGAATCAGTATTCTTTATAGCAAGAGATATATCATGCCATAACAAGAAACATGATTACTTCAGTGAATGTTGCTTCTCTTTGACATGCATCGTTTTGTTGTTAAATGGCAGAAAGCAATTTGTTGAAACAAAAGGACTATATCACTGAACGAGAAATAGCTATTGATTTAAGAATATCGTAGGAGCTTTGTTATTTTCTGCTCGAAAAAGAAAAGTATTCCGTACAAATATATTTAAAATAGTTCTACTATAAATAGTTAAAAAAAATGATAAAATTGTTAGACCTAAAGACATTAAAAAGCTTTCTCACAAATGATAATATGATACGTTATCTATAGAATTTACTAATTCGAGTCTTATAATTTAAACACAGAATACTATTTTTGTATCGACAAGAAGTTATCACATATTCATAATGGTAAAAATGACCAAATATAAACGTATTATCGTTCATTACCGGTCTTATCACACTGTATATCGCAGTTGAAAAATAAGCTTGCTTACAAGAGAGAAGTGCTCGAAAGCTTATTGAATAACCTATCAAATGATGTTATTTCAACAAGCGCAAATCTTTTCTGTATGATAGTTCAATGAAAGTTTGCTTTACCATTAGAGCAACTAATTTGTAAAATGATTTTTTTATATATCAGTACAACTATTTCAATACAATATAGATAATCTTGTTGTGATAAACAGTGTTTATATAGTAATAATAGAGATCACACTTAATAAATCATAGTGTAAATAATACATTAGTTCTGTTCAATATCACAGACAGACAATCACTAATAAGTATTGAAAATATAATTGTCATGTATTCATGTAGAATATGTTCGATTAGTGACTTCAAAATTTCATTACATATCTGATAACATATCTAAAGCAATAGAGCCATATTTTCATAAGTTAAATGCTTTGTCATTATATTGTTATAAATGTATCTATTTCAATAAAATTCGTCTTCTTAAAAAAATGCATGAAACGATTTTATAAACATCAATTTCACTTTAATCCCACTCAAGAATAGAATAAAACAAATGTGTTTCTTGCTTCTGACGATTTCTTTATAAAACTCTATCATCTATTATTATAAGTATTTGCCTAGGTCGAATATTCATTTAAAACTTTATAGATTCGATACATAGGCAGTTGTTTAGTCTTATGCAGCTTTATATATACAAGTAATCAAGTACGAATTTTAAGTCAACAGTGAAATATCTTCTGCAATAACAATATAAAGTATCGTGTAGTGAAGTACAGGTAACTTAAAAATAATTAAGTCTACTTATTACAATTCAAGCGAACGAGATATTTCTTCAATCATCGATACATAGTCATACGATAGGCATTGAAAACCTTTGCTAACGCACGATCAATAAAAGGTTAAAAAATATCATTTATTACTTTAAATAAAAGGCAAGGGTATCTCTTTTTTTATAACTTCTTCACACTTTTGTCAATCTATCACAAACATACTTCATATATCCAAAATATTTCTTAATTTATTATCTGATTTAGTTGAAATATTCAATTTTATTGTTACTAAAAAGGTATATGAAACAAAGTTGACATGTGGTATTATAATTTTTAATATTTGAAACAAACCATTCATTCATGTCGTAACACATGTATGATCATGCAATATGTACATTAAATTAGCTATTATTACTTATTTAAGATAAATTATTTATATTTCACGCCATATACTTCAATAAAGACCTGTCAATTCTTTTAATTATTAAACATAGAGAGCATACATTGTTTGAGAACTATTTATATATTCATAAAAAAAAACGGACTAATGCATTTGTCTGAAATTAAAGTGGTGTAACCTTCAATTAGTTTTTTTCTTGCCACGGTTATTATAGTGATCGTACTTGTAATATTAGTATCGATATAAAAAAGACAGTTTCTAGTTATATAAAATAAATGATCGTTATTGATTATCATAATATTGTCATGTCTACCATCTTTTTTTTTTAAACATATATATGATACTTATGCATGCAAGCACTGTTAGTCATTTGATCGTTATACATTAACGTCAAAATGATCAATATACAAATATAAAAGTTTATGAGAGAAGAGGTAATCGATTGAATTTCACTTAACTCGATATTGAATAGTTCACGTATTTCTGTCTCTTATTCATTTTTTTTCTTCTTCTTCTGTTCTCTCTTTCATATAATAATGTCTCATTTTAATCGTCATCACTTCGTTCTTTGAAAGAAGAGAACAGAAAAAAAAATCAATGCGGAATAAAAGTAAATGTATGTAACGAGGAAACCAGTCACTACTCATTTCAATCATATAATAAGAGACGACGAGTTGTATGTATGTATGTATGTATGTTCGTTACTATAATTTTCTTTCTTGCGGCAGGTCAACTCCATTATTCTTTTTTTTACTCACAGCTATAGTGAGAGAAAGAAAGGATAATAACAATTGAGCTTCTACCTCGTCGTTTACTTGTGTACAAAAAGATCTAAGAGTTGGTTACATCAGTACATTTCGATATATAGTATTATATTATTTGCGCAATAGACGTAGACAGACATAGAAAAGAAAGAAAGAAAGAAAGAGAAATAAAAACAAGGACTCTCGTCATCGACAACGCATAAAATCATTCACATTTTTCTTAGTATATTATGTTCTATTGACAAACTGTATGAATGCTTCCTCAATACGCACAACGTAAGTTATTCAAATGAAATTTTTTTTGATTTCATTATATTAAATAATAATGAAAAATTTATAGGTCAAAACGGAGGTGAAATAGCTATTTGGCTCTTAATTACAGTTGGTGCTCTTCTTATTCCTATTATTGTAATTGCCATTTGTTGTATACGGCGTCAGTAAGTATTGAGTTCTTTATTACTTGTTAGATGATTGTATTGAATCGAAAGAATTCTAAAGTAAAACATTATATTTACAGACATCGAAGTCACTTTTCTCGTTCAGTTCTCGTAAGTTTGCCTTTTTTCAAATCGCTGCTTTCTTCTTCCTCTTGCTTATACTGATATATAATAATGTGTGATGATTATGCTAATTCACACAGAATAAACACATGTCCTTCAAATTATTCATTCATTCATTCACAGCTGTTGGCAAAATATTCCTGCTCGTCGTCCACCATCTTCTTTTGCTATTATTACTAACAATGATGAGTTACTAATTAATTCGAATTCATTACCACATCATATGTGGGATCCTTATGTATGTGAATGTAATCGAATAAAACAAAAAAAATGAGATTTATATATATATGTTAGAGTTTTGTGTTCGATGTGTATTTGGTGTCGGTATCTTAGCTTTAATTTATTTGTTCACATTTTATTACATATATATCTTTTTGATTCTGCACATGTTTTTTTTAGTCTAAATTATGTTGATCTTTCATTAAATATTGTTTTTCTTTTCAGCTTAGCAAGAAGACCACACATAAAATTGATGGACAATCCATCCCTCCGTATGATGATGAATACGAAACGGGCAGAGTCCCTACGGTATATAATTAAAAAAAATTTATTCTTCTTCTGTTATGAATCTATTTAGTTCGTATAATGGTCCCTATGTAGAATCAGGCAATGAAAATGGATATGTAATATCTGAAAATAATATAAATCCAAGTTTATCTCGTACAAATTCTCTTAAAAAACAACATGTTCATTGGCCTGATGGATCTATAAAACCAAAAACTAATGATATCTATCCAATAAAAAAGAAACAATTTACTGAAGAAAATATTCTTAATACTACACAACTTACTGCGTCTCCATCATCTCATCGTCGATCGACTTATACATCATCAGCTCTATCACATATTATTCAAACGGCTATTATTCCTGCTGGTTCGACAGTTAGTAGTACTGATACAAATCAATTATTAGCATTATCTAAAGAATTTACATCTAATTCAACTGGAACGAATAGCATTGTATAATTTTATTAATTCTTCTTGTGTAGAATATTTTTGTATATTTTAAATGCGAGTTTTTTTTTCTTCTTCTTTTAAATAATAGAAAACGAGTGATAGGTAGTAAAAAAAATAAGAATATTTCTTGTATGATCATGTACAATATTTCATCTTCATTATATATGTTATCAAAAGAGCTAGAATTAAAATTTCATAAAAAAAAGAAACATTTTATAAAAAATAGCTAATTAAAAATGTTTAACAACAACCACCACTCTTTTTTTGATTAACAGGTTTTGTAGAACTCTTATCTAGACGAAATGATTTTGGAGTTGATACGATCTCAACCTGATCTTCCCGTGGAGCAGTTATACTTAATCCAGGTTCTATTGATGATGTTGTTTTTGTTGCTGATGGATTTTCTACTGATACTGATTTTGGCGTTTTTTTATAAAAAATACTTGTAACAAGTGTTTGAAATGCTTGCTCAACGTTCGATGCATTAAGTGCGGATGTTTCCAAATAGGATACATTTAATTCTTTTGCAAGATTTGTTGCTTTCTCTTGCGATATTTTACGTTGATCAACTAAATCAGATTTATTTCCAATTAATACAATTGGTAAATCTGCTGGTGTATGTCGATGTAATTCTTCTATCCATGTTATCATATGATCAAATGAATCAGGTTTAGTTAAATCAAATACAGCTAAAGCACCTTCACTACCGCGATAAAATTGTGGTATAACAGTTTTAAAACGTTCTTGACCTGCTGTATCCTATATATAATGATAACAAGTTAGAAAGAAATTTTTCGAATAAAATAAAACTTACCCAAACTTGTGCTTTTATTTTTTTACCTTCAACGACAAGTCCTTTATTAGAAAATTCAACTCCAATTGTTGATTGAGTATCAAGACGAAATTCATTACGAGTGAAACGTAATAAAAGATTACTCTTAAAATTAAAAATAATTATTAATTTAAATAAAATTTATTTCCTACCTTTCCAACAGAACTATCACCTATAAGAACTAATTTAAATATAAAATCATATTCATTTCCTCCACTTGATTTGGCCATATTTATTTTATAAAGAAAAATTTAGAAGTGTCTATGATATGATGAAAAAGAAGAATATGTTCGACGACTCATAGACACATTCTTCTTCTTCTTTTATTCATCCAACATTATCTTATCAGACAAACCATGTTTTATAACAACAGAAAAGACAAAAAAAAGAACTTTACAATCATCACAGTACTCTATTCTTTTATTTCATCAAAAAGATACACCAAAATGACTAAGTCACATGCCTAAAATATTAACCAATTAAATCTATTTACATCCCATAGTTTCAAAGTTTTTTTTATGATGTTATGAAATAATAGATTCATTTTGTATGACTCAACGACATGGAATGATGAATCGTTGTTGAAGTGAAATATAGTCTTTCTATAGAGATCTTGCTAACGAGGGAACATCCCCAACTGAAGTATCGCTTTGGAGTTCGGGTCCGGTGCATAATGTAGACCCTAGTGAAGTATGAAAAACCCCAAAAGGATACGGGCCCACAGGCCTTCTATCCCGAGTTATAGGTAATATACTGAAATTTTAGCCTATGGGAAGGTATGTAGAAATAAATCGAATGACGGTATTTCGACCTGAGATTCTGCCCACAGAGAGGTCTATATGTGACTAGAATACCCTGAAAATTTCAGCTCAAAAGCATGTTTCCTTCTCGAGATATTAACGTCTCAAAAAACAGAAAATTCTAGTATGTTTCGTGGGATATACGTGATTTTTTGAGACGTTAATATCTCGAGAAGGAAACATGCTTTTGAGCTGAAATTTTCAGGGTATTCTAGTCACATATAGGCCTCTCTGTGGACAGAATCTCAGGTCGAAATACCGTCATTCGATTTATTTCTACATACCTTCCCATAGGCTAAAATTTCAGTATATTGCCTATAACTCGGGATAGAAGGCCTGTGGGCCCGTATCCTTTTGGGGTTTTTCATACTTCACTAGGGTCTACATTATGCACCGGACCCGAACTCCAAAGCGATACTTCAGTTGGGGATGTTCCCTCGTAAGATCGAGAATGATGTAAGCTTATAAGTTGAAAAAAGTGTATTTTGATTTGAGTTGTTAAATATTGAAGAGTTTAACGCAAATATATATTGCTTCTTGAGTACATATTTCACAATAGATTTGGAAAAAAAACATGATATCGAGAAGAAAGTAGTCGTGTTTAGCTAAAACTTTTGATATGTTCTAGCAATCTTCAGACGCATCTCTGTAGACGAAGTCAAATAAAAATATTTACTTTCTGTTTGGAATGTAATCTGTAGTAATAGGCGAAAAACATAAGATAATGACTGCAATTTGAAAAGATAGTATTAGAAATATAAACCATAAGATTCGTCCATAATAAAGATGTGAGAGGGAAGTACAGAGTGATAGTTATCATATACGATTTATTAGATCAAGATAATTCTGATTTCTTGTGTATTTCATAGTTTTGTTATAGTTAAATCAGTTACATCACAAGGATATTTTATATAGACTATTATAACAGGTTGAATCATATATTTTTCAAATAGAATTTGAAGTTCCAATAATTTATCTATGTACATATGCCTACAAATATCTTTGTATACTAGTGCTTACCTTGGATAATAACATTGCTTCAAATCAATTCTAATAGATGTGCAAGCTAAAGACAAATAAATATCTTTCACTTTTTCGTTATATCTTTTATTAATCTAATATCAACACTTATTATCCTTAAAAATATATCTGGACAAAAAGGCAACAAATGAACGTCACCAAAGTATCTCTTTATTACTCCTAGTTTGTCAGTTATTTACACTTACTCACTGCACTTATTGCAGACCATATATATATATAATTGAATATTGTAATCTTTAATAAATAATAAATTCTATAATTTTACTTGTTTCTTGTTATGATATTATAAATAAAATTATTTTTTATTTATATTATTTTATTTTATGAATTTATTTTTATTTAAGACGCAAAAAGAAAATGAAGGTAAAATTATTTATTGTATTTAGTCTTTAGTTAAATGAAAAGAACTTTAATTTGATTGTTTCTCTTCCAAATAAGCTTGTTTTTCAGCATCACTTAATCCATCTTTTGGAGGATTATCAACATGATGTAATTCATGATTACCACCTTGAACTTCTATTAAAACTTTAGCTTGTGTTGTTGATAATGATTCAGCTGGTGGTTCAACATGATGCAATTCATGTTTACCACCTTGAACTGCGAGTAATACTCTAGCTTGTGTTGTTGATAATGGTGTACCTGGTGGTTCAATATGATGTAGTTCATGTTTACCACCTTGAACTTCTATCAAGACTTTAGCTTGTGTTGTTGATAATGATTCAGCTGGGGGCTCAACATGATGCAATTCATATTCATGTTTTGTTACTTCTTCTAGAACAGCTCTTTGAGCAGATTCAATAGATTCATCCGAAGACATGATTAAAATATAATAAATATCTAGAAGAAGAAATTATAATCGTGTTCTATTGTTGAATTAGTCATTTAATATGAATAATTTCAGATAAAAAATAGAGGAATGAATAATCTTGGTGAGAGACTCTGGTAATAAAGATACGGAAGGTTGATTTAGTTTTATCATACATTAGAATCGTATAATCAAGCCAAATAACCGTTAGAAACTTGTCAAAAGTCATTCTTTTGTCTAATCGCATTGAAGCAGTATGTTATAAATATCTATCACAAGTTTGAATTGCTTAACTATATCTCATTTTTCTTAGAACGGAAATTAAATAACAAGAAATCTATCAAGATAAAAAAAAGATAAACTGTAGCAAATGATTTACTATTTTCTAATTAACCATGAAAAAAATAATTTCCTATGGTTTTTTCACGAAGAAGTTACCTATATTCTTACTTTTTATAACCATATAAATATCATTTACAGAACAAACGTGTTTTATATGAACACGTAAAATCAGATGTCAATGAGGAAATAATATTAAAAAAAAAGCTACAAAAAATATTTTTGTTAATCTCTATCAATAAAAGCAAGCACATGCTAGTATTTTTCTCAACATCCAACATATTTATATATTAGATACTTGAATGTGTTCAAAATCAAACGCATAGCCATTTTCATATAGAATACTAAGAAAAAATATGGAATTACTTTGTATATATACACATATTATCTATGAAATAAAAATTTTACCAAATTAAATAATTTTGACCATTATTCATGCTTCTATATATTACTAAATACGGTATTCGTAGCAGGAGACGGACCATTAAAAAAATGAAACTTAATTCTTATCTTCAAAAAGTGTGTTCTTCTTTTTATTATTGTTTGACCGATGTAATGCACATGATACTATTATTCATTGATAAAAATATTTACTTTTGTTGCGATTGCGCATGCGCTGGCAAAAAAGACGTAACAACATGAATAGTAAATACACATGGTATATTCATACTTGTGCTTCTGTTTTCAATGCAAAGCTACAGGCTCGATATTAATCTAAATATTTAACACGGTGATAACTAAACATCTATTCGCATCAATCTTCTAAAAAAATATGAATTCAAGTTTTGCTAAGAAAAAGAAAGATATTTGTTAGTTCCGAGGAATTTCATTCATTGTAATCTATCTTATCAAATCATATAAGTACTATGTTGGAGAATAAGACTGGTCCTTATACAATTGAACTTGTATATAATCATTTTTTTTT